CATTCTAGATGGAAAAGATTTATTGATTACTTTTTCTCGTCCTCTTGATTCAATTTAATATGAAAGCTTAAAGACTCTAATAAAAGATTTACCAAATGTTATTGCTATAAAAGTAAAAGATATTAATAATTCTATCACACGCCATTTTGGTATTCACTTGCTGAAGCAATAAAAAGAAAAAGTATTATCTCTAAGTCTTCTTATCCTCGAAATAGTCTTGTAAGCTTTAATAAAGAGAAGCTTTCTGATGATATGCTTGTAAGATATTTACTATATCCTAGTAATTAGAAAGAAGGAAGACGTTGTGCTAGTGATTTGAATTGGTTTTCACATATTTATCATATCTGTCAATCTATGATACAAAAAAATCAGCTGGTCTTATACTGGCTGGAAGAAGTCCCCTTTGGGTTAATTGATAATGATGATTATATTCTCAAATGTCCTAAAAGATCTTTTGTTCAAGAAGAATTGATGATTATTTCTTATGATACAGAATTGCCTCCCTAGTGGATGCTCACGAATTAAATTTCTAAAGTGATGATAGAAAATCTTCTATCACTTCATCAACTTGTTTATCAGCAATAAAATAATCCTTGGCTAATTTATAATATAATTTATATAATTCCATGATGGTATTAAGAATCTTTGGATCTTTTCCATACCAAGATTTATAGTCATCTATAATACTATGATATTTATTCTTATCTGGGAACAATATTTTTACATTTTCTAGGATATATACATCGGGATCTTCTGCCTGGCGTAATTTTTTTACTTGCACTTAATAGTTTTATATGAATTTGCCATTCTTTGGCTTTCTATAATATATTCCTGCTTTGACTACATTTATTAATGCCTGTTTGACTTCCTGGTATGTGGGTTTAGTATCAGATAATTGAATTTGAGTACATTATGTAAGTGCTTGATTTATTATATGATACTTATATAAACATTTTATTTTAATTAATTATTTTGGTATATAAAAAATAATTACATTATGTATGGTGAATATACTTGCCTCTTTATATAATTTTTTGATAAAATTTGTGGATGATCCTGTATACGCGAACAAGGATGTTCTATTTATTGTAAATATATCATAAAGTTAGCTAATAAGCAACTTACTCCTTGTAGTGAATGTAGTAGACTTAATAGATCAGCTTCTGGTCGATGTCCTGATCATATAAAATGGTTTTATACAGTATCTCCCAATATTATAACAGACTGCGCTCTAAGGCCCTAATAAATAGTAAATAGACTATTTAAATTTTAGTATCCTGTTCGAAAATTTGGTATCCTATTCAGAATTTTGGTATCCTGATACCATTTTTTTGACCTAGCTTTGCGTAAATAAAATGGTTTTAGAATGTGTTCCTGTATATTAAAAAAAAATGGTATACTAGAATGTGTTCTGTGACTTTTTAACTTTCTTATGTACATACAAATTTTTGGTACCCATATCAATGTGGATACCAAAATTTTGATTTTGTTTACGTTAATGAATTAGCTTTAGAATTAATTTTAGGATATCATGAAATTTTGTATGCATTTTAGGCTTGCATAGTCAGACTCAGCTCAAATTACGTCACTTTGTTTCTTGATTTTCAATGGTCCCTCTAGAGGTAAGCAGAATAGCATAAAAGTTATTAATCATATTAGGTTTATAATGTTAGGCCCAGCTCAAATCACGTCACTTTGTTTCTTAATTTTCGATGTCCCCTTCTGAGGCAAACAGAATATTAAAAATTTTTTGATATATTATTTGTGATTAAAATCATGCTAGAATGGTTATATTAAATAGTATAATTCTTGATATCTGAAGGTTAATTCCTAGACAAGTTCGATATCATCATCTAGAATTAAGTCAAATCACGCTAGAGGTTTAAATTCGATAATGGATTTCATATAGCTAAAATGGATTTGTGGATGATCAGAAAACCTTTCTGGATATCTTTTGGATTTTTGTTCCAGAACCCCCTTTTGCCCTATATTCTTACTAATCCTAATTAACCCTAACTTAAACTTAATCTTTAATTAAAATAAACTTTAACTCTAATCCTCTAATCCTAATTACTAATTTTATTTCATATCTTAACGTTAATATAACAAAATTCTTATCATTTAAAAAAAAAAATTAAAAAACTCTTTTATAAAAATAAGAATAAAAGTTTCATGAAAAAAAAAGTAAGTATTTTATGAAAAAAGAAAATAAGAGTTTTATAAAAAAGAAAGAAAAGGTTTCATAAAAAGTATACACCAATCAAAATAACTAGCTTAAATCATTATGATATCATATGTTATAATATTTGATAAAAGATTAAGGATATTTATATCTTCTAGTATAATATGAATATTTTCTTTAATTTAAATTAATTAATTTAGCTAAAATTATTATTAATTAATATCAGGTAGAATAAAAATGAAAATTAATATAAAACTATCTTAATTTGAACCAATTTTTTAGTCAATTTTATTATTTTTATTAAAAACAATTTTATTTACTAAAATATTATTATATTTTAATTTCTTATTAGTTATTAAATTTTGTAGAAATTTACTAAATGTACTGTATAATTATAAATTATGATAGATAATATCTAAAAAATAATCTACTAAAAATAACTTAATCAGTAATTATTAATACCTTAAGTGGTATTTCTTTAATATAATTATATTAAAGAATGGAATACTACATCTTATAATTATTATAATAATATAATAATAAAAATAAATTTGAATGTAAGAATTATCAGGAATTAGATAATAATAATCTAATCCATTCTTATTAATGACGAATTATATGGAACGTAAGTACTCTTTTAAAAAACTTTTATATATTGTCGGTATAAAGATATTTTAAAAAGTTAATTTACTACCAGTAACATCAATATTGTTTTAAAAATACATAGTCGATTAGTTATGATCCACAAAGACAAACTATTTATAAATTTTGTGAAACAAGATCAACCAATATATATATATCTCCAATAAAAAAAAAAAAGATTTTCCCACGCTTCTTTCTTAACACACAAAAATATAAAAAATATTTCCTAGTAGTTAGTTAATTACAGATAAATTAAGATATAAGTGACGGCAACTCTTTTAGAGCGGAACGACATTATTCTTAATTTGATATGAACTAATAAACACCCGCCCCAAGTCGTGTTCGTCTTCCGCCGCTAGTAACCCATTCTTCGGAGTGGTTAGGCACTTTAGCGGGCCACTTGGGTGTCCCCCGGAATGGGGCGACTGGGTGCTGGAACTCCCCTTACCCATATCACTCTTAGGAGTTTAAATCAGTTTTTCCCTCAGTTCCGCTGTTTTAGTTCATATTCTCGCTTATTACACCATAAATAATTAATAAACATTAGCTTAGTTCATTTAATTTAGTCAAATTTACCTTCGAAGATCAAAAATTCAAATTGTTTGTTGTGGTTGTTTTATATATTTTCTCGTTGACTAATTTTTTTGTTAATTTTCAATATTTTACAGCATTGACCAACAATAAACCCGAAGGCTTGTTTGATAGAAATTTTCTAACAGATGGTAAGTTTTCTTTATTTTTTTGGAAGATAATGTTAACAAAGTTAGTGACACAATTTCGCAAGAAGATTTGGAAAAATTTTACGAGCTTTGAGTCAGGAAGCGGAAGATTTATTAAAATTTAGGAGAAAGACGTTAGTATTTTAATCAAAGGAACATTGCTTTCGTTTAAAATGAAACAAATTCAATTAATTATTACTTTATCAATACATTCTAGTTAAAGAAGTCGTCGATGACGGACCGAGCTCGATCTGGAAGCGTTATTAATTTTTGGGGCGGGTTCCTTTGGATGAGGAGTTTTGGACGGGTAATTTAGGAGAAAATTTATGTTGATATCATTTGATGTAAAAAATTAAAGTTGTATTTCTTTATGTTTCTAGATTTTGTTAGATTGATTTTGACATTTAGTTTATTAAAATATATCATCTACTTTTTTTTTGGTTTCGTTATTTTGTTTAATAAATAAATAATAAAAATAAAAATTTTATAAATATTTTTAAAATTCAAACATGAAACATTGTACATTAAATTAATATCGCTTTGACGAGAGCAAAATCCAACTTTTATCGAAATTTTTAGATTAACATGATCTTCATACGAAAATTGAACTGAAGATATTTTGAATTTATTTTTTTTTGCGAAAATATTAACCACAATGTCACTTCCGTTCAGAACTTATTACATTTCTAAAAAACAAGGGAATAGGCGCTTTAAAAGGCTTTCTCCAAGATATTTTATTAATAACTTCAATTATATATTGCTAAATCCAGAAGTTTTGAACAATAGCAACCCATCAATTTTCAATTATTTAGAAATACATAATACAATGCAAAGTATAAAGACTAACGATCGATTCAAATCTCAAAAGGTCATGGAAAACTTATTGTTTGGGTAGATTTTGCATAAAAAAAAAAATAATAAAAACCTTTTTGTTTCCGCCAAACAACGATATGGCGATACTCAACAAAGTTTGTACGTGTCTGGCACTTTTAAACAGTCAATAATCCCAAGCATCTAGAATTTCTTGACACTAATATTCCCAACAGCCTGATATAAATCCTATTGAAATTCTTTAGATTATGTTCAAAAATAATGTAAAAGGTGGTAACAAAATTTTCTTGCTGGATTATATTTAAATCTCTAAAAAGAAATAAATATTCTAGATTACAAGGTTTCAAATTTAAATTGCACTCCGGCATTAATTTACTAATCTTCACAATAATCCGTTCATTAAAGATCTAATTGATAAAAATGATCGATTTGAAAATTGATTGCTTCTCTAAATAGGTAAGAATCGGTTATTTTATAAAATCACGTGACTTATTTACTATGTCTCTCGTTTCTTTTATTAAAAGATTAACCACCCCATGTTAAAAATTAATAATGAAAAATATATAGGATTTCGCGTCATTTTTATTATTTAGTTAAATTAATATAAAAAATGAGAATTTCTGAAATTATTGGGAAATCAATTTCACATCGGGCAACTTCTGTACCACCTCCTCAATTTCTTTCAATTTGGCTTTGCAAACTTCACAAAGCAGTTGCTGTTTTGGGGTCTTATCAGCAGTAAATTCGTAATAGCCAAATGTGGCTCCCGCGTGTAATGCCGCGGAAATGGGGGTTTCTTAATAGATAAAGGTGGAATTTGTTAAAATGTTAAGATAAAAAAAGAAGCTTTTTTACCGATCAGAATCGCAGAAACATACCGGCAAGTTTTATCGCAATAGGCTTCAAAACACCATGCATCAATGCCGGCAATCCTCCCATCACAAAGTCTCTTTTTTCAGTATTGTCATACATCCAAACATTCTGTAACAATAACATCAGATAGCAATAAGCGGCATCAAAAGCTTTGGAAATACATAGAACATCTTTGGGAAATTTATCTAAACTGTGCGTTGGAGTAGGTATACCAAAAGCGTAAGAAAAGGAAATAGCAAATTATTCAAAAGGGAACCCTAAAGAAAAGCTTGCACTTACTACTTGGCTGGATCGGTAATAACAGGCCAGCACTGATATTCCTCACTAGAAGCATTTTTGATCAAATGCAAACATTTTTGGAATGTTTGGTAATGGGAGGCTTCGGATTCGGCTCTTGATCCTTCTCCCTATATAATAAATGAAATGCATAAGTCGAAGAGAAAAATACCTTAATAATTAATGTAATAATATACAAGTACTATACCTGAACTTTAATTAAATCAATAGCTTTCTCCGCAGCTATTAAATTATCAATGATGGTCAATCCATCTTTTCCTGTGCCCGTGCTTGGAGCGTAGCCCATACCAGGTCCAAGCTGCATCCATATTATTTCTGTAAGTGAAACCTCATAAAAAACGAGTTTTAGAATAGAAAATACAATTACCTGAAATGTCGTGTCATACTTTATTTCATCATTAAAGTTAATAAAACATTCTTTGATTGTGTCATATAAATCTCCTATACTGTCAACAGAGACTTCCGAGACATCCACATCATCACCTGGAGTTTGTTTTCCTGACAAAAATTTAAATGGTTATTATATATCGCAGTTATAATCATGTGATCTGAACTTATAAGTACTTAAGCGTTTTAACGGAATGCTCGGTTTTTTAGGTGGAGATAAATCGTCTGGTGCTTCAATTTGTATAAAGGTATTTATGGTTTTTACATCTGCTTTTGACAAATGAACCATTATTTCGCCTATAATTTCCATAAACTGATCTGAGTTTCATCTCGGAAATAATAGTATGGTAAACATACTTTCATGACTGAATTATCAACGAACTTTACCTTCCTTAACGTGGGGCAAAGGATTTGGGTAGACGGGAATCGCTTCTCGTGAATAAAATACAGGCTTGCGTCCTATAGATTTAGAGGAAGTTCGTCATAAGCGATTTAATAATCAAAATTCATGTTTAGAAAGTACTTTTCTATAAATACCGATGGCAACGATAAGATTTGCTACAAGGGATGCATGCAACATTTCCTCTGCGGCAACATGTCGAATTAGATGTTTCAATTTGCCACCAATATCCTTGTGTCCTTTGATCGAGTACAAAGCGTATAGATATGGTGGGATAGTAGTGAGTTCAATTTCTAACGCGAGTTGAAGGAGCTCGTATAACTGTTAGAAAAGTAAGAAATAATTAAACGGCGGTAAACTATGATGTATAATATATTAAATGAAACATACGTCTTCTAGGTCCGAATGTTTTACTATCTCTTTAACATCAGTTTCTTTGTATATGTTACCATGTTCGATCTCAGTAAATAATTTTATACCATGATCGATTTCCTTCTCGACGATAAATCCTAACCTGAAAGGTACAAAAGTATCGAAGCATCCTTTAAATTAGAATACGCTTGTAGACTAAAGTGATGTCATAGGAAATATTAATTTACCTATCCCATGCTCTGACCATATCCATATCACCCCATTTAGGAACTCCTCTTGGACCATCGTCGTTTCTAAATCCTCGAGTCCATTCTTTAAAGTCATTTAAACGAATTTTATTATCTTCTCTTCCCATAATTTCAAACTGGGATCAAAATAATCGTTAATTCTATTTTGAAACAATAATGATTACAATTATTTAAATATTTACCAGCTTCTTTTGTGTGATAACTTCATCGGGTCTTTGAGCTGGCCACCAATGAGTATTGCATTCATAAAAATCGGCTTGCCAAGGTAAAGCCATGTAAGCATTAATATCTCCGGGCTTGAAGGCATTGGAATTAATTCTGCATAAACGAAATAAATGTTATTTTCCAACCTAATTAATAATTCTTCAAGATTAGTATAGTTATGTACCTAAAGTCAAATTTAAAGTTATCCTTATCGTAAGCAATAAAAGTCATTTCAATTCCAGGGAAGAATGCTCCTCCAACGCACCATTCAAGAGTAGCTTTTTTAAGACATTCAACTTGAAGAGAAGCGTTAGTAATAATTTCTTCAAACTCTTTGTAACCTTCTTTTTCATTGCTTCTGCCCGCAATCTTTTTTTTATACTTGGGATATCTGCCTGTTCCATTGCTATCAAACTGATAATAGTACTCGACAGGTTTGTTTTGTTCATTTACGTGAAAAGAACCTTTGGCCCAATTTAATAGGTTGCTAACGGAAAAGTAAAGCATTAGTTTAAGTTAAATGATGCAGAGGCCAATATAATACTTACAGGTATTGTCCACCAGTAACGGACAAATATTTATCCGGATCACCAGGTCTAACATCTCCATCATTACCAGACAAAATTGGCATAAAGTAATCATAAGCTTGACCGTAGTATTCAGCTTCGGATGCGATGTCTTTTGGTATTCGGACTCGGCCTAAAATACCTTTCCTATCCATCGGCGATAATGAAACAAGTATATTTGTTAGGAAAATAAATCAAAACCACAATTTCAGAAGAAAAAACCAACCTCAAGCCTTCCTCCAGTTTCGAATTATCTTTCAGACGTTTTTCCATGTCTGGATTTAAAAAGTGACCTGGCTTGTAGATTCCGTGACCAATGAAAGCCTTCTTATTAACCCAAGAGATTCTGCAGATCGCTTCAAAAATTGGGCGTATATCACGATAATATTCCACCTGCGCAAAGTATTGGAAGTCATTATGAATGACTGATCATTGTTCAATCAATTTTCTACCAAACGACTCGAATATTATATATATTGTACCTCTATATTTTCAGCAGCATCTGGTGGATGCTGCGTTTCCAAAATAACCTGGTACAACGACACGATATTTGGAATACCCGGCGCATATTTCGGAGGTGCCACGAGAACCCATGATTTGTCCTCTAAATTATTGAGGTTGAGCGCTATTCTACGAATCAAATGATTTATAATTTACAAAATTTTACCTCTATTCTTGAGTTCCTTGGATTGTTCGTTAATGGTGATGGTAACAGTAGCATCTATTGATCCATCAGAAGTATCATCATACCAATAATCGTTGTTTGCGTACTCAGTTATATAGGCACCTGTGGAGATAAGAATATAATATAAGCGATAGATTCGAGCAAGTCTTCTGTAATTACGAAGATATACAACCTTCTTTAACACTTCCAGACTTTCCCTTTCCACCAACAATTATCAAACTTCCTTCTTGCTCTAGTATCATCTTTCCCAAGTATAATTCCTGCCCGCTGTTAGGATCATTAGTGCGATAAACTCGCGCCTTGAATTCTTTTGTCGGAAGTTTTGTATTTTTAAAATCATCGGAAGATAAACTCTGTTCGCTAATAGCCATCAATGTAGAACGATCATGTGGCCATTCTGCAGACGGTTAAACAAATTTTTAGAAATTTGACAAAGTTTTGAAAATCTAAATTTTTGTTAGAATTACGTACTTTCATTTCTCTTAGGGCCTTCAGGATCATAAGTCTTGATACCAACGAATTGCGTGTGTGCTGCCTTCTTATTAGCAAGCACAACGTTCCAATTAATATTCACATCCACAGAATTATTTTTGTCTGTAAGCTTAATTTCTCGCACAACATTGCCATTTTCGTCGTAACCATAGATTCTGAATCTTGCGGCTTGTGGTCTTACACGTTGCTTTTCATCTTTAAATTTGAAAGAAGGATCACCCTCTGCAAAATTGTACATAAATTGGAATAAAAATAAAAATTAACGTTAATGTTTCAACATGAAAGATGTATTTTATATATATATAGCCGTGTAGACCAATAACTTCGATTTTTTTAGCTTTACCTCCGACAAACACTCCAGGGATTTCAGATACCACATAATAATCGTCGGAATTTCCAACTCGTGCAACATTAATAGGTGGAAAGATTGCAAATGATACGATCTTCTTGTAATCTTCTTCTGTCATTTTGAATTGAATGAGGTTAGTGAACTTGAGGAGAACTTCATCCTTCTTGGAATGAATATATAGTGATTTTGGGTTACATATATGGATGCTGATAATCTTCTTGAGATATCTAAATTCACATGAATGAGCAGATTTTTCTTCAAAGTATAGGAAATATATTTGCGAAACATTGAATCAAACAAGAATACTCCAAATTTCTAACAAAAGACATATTAAAAAAGCCATCTTATTGTTTTGAAGGCGTTTGATTCTTTAAAACGGTTGATTATTATAATTTCCACAATGGGCAAACCGGATTTAATAAATCATAAATCTATTCAATAGATTATGCATATAGACCGTAGCATACGGTACGACTGCTGGAAGGTTGGACAAAAATGTAGCGAAGTTGACAACTTCATTGAAAATTCCCAAAACAGATTAGGATTTCTCGGATATTAATTAATTTTATCTCATTTTATTTTACTTATTTAAACAATTCCGAAAGCATTGTATTGTTTGCTTAAAGTGGTTAGTGATCTGCCCAAGATTGGGAGATCTGTATAATCAATTTGTACTTTCGAATTTAAGGTATAGAGAGGAGAAAAATTCCCCAATATTCAAGTTTTTATTAGCCGCAGTGCAACGATCTTCATTTAATAAATCAGTTAATCTTGCATCATTTTTTCTTAATTAAAATCCTTCTGCCCGCTACCTTTTCCATTCGTTTTTAAATATAAACTGAGCGCAATTTCATCACATAAAAAAATGGGAAGTTATAACGTTTATTAATCCACAAATATAAAAATACCTAATTTTAAAATTTTTTTTTTTTTTTTACTAGGATGCTGTTTCAGGGACTCGTAACAAGACACAACAACAGATTTTTTTTATTTGTAGATAATATTGTTTTTTTTATATTAGGCATTTTAATTTTTTATGAACTGTTAATTTTTATTTATAATTTTTCTTTTTTTATGTTTCTTTTTTAATTGTATTTTTTTTTAGCTCCTTTACGGGTTAAAATTTATTCTTTTAATTAAATCTTTTTTTATCTATTTATTTATTTATTTATTTATTCCATTTGTATATAAATGATGTATAAGAATTATTTTAATTTTTCTGCTTTACAAACAAAACGAAACGGCATATCATGAAAATTATAATTTTACATATCACCTAAAAGAATAAAAATTTTAGCAAACATCATTTAATAAAAAAATACATTTGCTTGCTCTTAAATTTCTTCATAAGTTACTTAATCAATCTATATTATATAAAAAATCCTCTCATACCTCAAATAGATTAAAAATAAAAAAAAAATAAACTGTGATATTGAGATCAACAAGCAGGTTTTAACACGTTTCAAGATTATTGATTATCACGCAAAACTAAAAAATCTATTGCTTTTTTTGAACTTAATTAAATCATTTTTTTTTTGAGTAACAATTGATTCATGCATGTTGAATGCTGTTTTAAAATCTTATATGAACGGTAAATTTGTACAATCTTCTATTCCTTGTAAACATTTTTATGAGGTTAAATAAAATGAATAGCAAGCATGAGGATCAACATTTTGACGTTATTGTTATAGGCGGTGGTGTTGCGGGGTCATGCACAGCAATAAGACTAGCTCAATTATTCAATTCTGCCGTTACTACTTGGCCTAAAATTGTAATTATCGACGAGAGAAACACGAATGTAGAAACATTTAAAATTGGAGAGTCTTTGCCTGGAGAAGCAAAGCCTACGCTTAAATCGTTAGGTGTATTCGATGCAGTAAATAATGACGCAATGCAAGGTATTGATAACTGATTCAATTGCTTCACATTGATTCAAAAAACAATTACTAATTCCTATTTTAATTAAGGAAAACATCACTTTTGTTACGGAAACTCTTCTGTATGGGGATCCGATGATTTGATCGGCACTGACACAATCTTTAACGCATATGGTGAAGGATTTCATCTGGACAGGCTTTTATTTGAGGAGACGCTACTTAAAATAGTCACGTTACAATACAGTCAATTCATTACAATTATGCGTGGCTCAAAGGTGACGGATTTATATCTATCCAAGGATATTGATCAAAGAGATAAACGCTGGAAGGTTACATTTACAAGTGATGGTAAGTCTATTCTATGCTATATCTGCGATGGTGCTACCAACAAGTTAAAATCTCATCAAATACTTGCGTTCCCGATAGAACCATCCCGTACAATCCAAATCCATGGAAATATCCTCATCGATGCAAGTGGCCGTCGTTGCTGTATTCGAAAATGTTTACAGGACTTAAAGCGCCGTTCTTTCGACAAGTTGCTGGCTTTCGCATGTCTATACGAAGCAGATTGTGATAATTTAAGCAAGACAGATTTGGATCATAATACCCTCGTGGAATCCTGCGCTTTCGGATGGTGGTATACTAGTCTATTGCCTAACAAGCAACGTATTGTTGTTTTTCATACCGACGATGATCTACTACACCAAATTAATAGAAAGATCAGGCTAGTTGAGGAATTTAATGAATTCATAAAGGAATCCGCTACGCATGTTGCCAAATACATAAACGAATATTCGTATCGTCCCATATTAAAAAGGGTTATATGCGTGCCAGCAAATTCTGCATGCCTTTCTCAGTTTGGTAAGTTCTTAATTTTATCTTGCATCAAATAGAATTAATATTCAAATTTAAATTTGATTCCAAATTAGCTTCCTATGAAAATCGGTGGATAGCGATTGGCGACAGTGCAATTTCTTTCGATCCGCTTTCCTCCCAAGGAATGTTAACCGCCATGTCTAGTGCAAAACTTGGTGCGGAGGCAGTATTTTTTCAATATTTTAACGGTGGGACGAAAATCGAAGGAAAATTAATTCAACCCTTGGAGGTCTATCAGAAATATATTGAGAACACGTTTCAAAAATACGTAGGAGAGAAAAGTTTTTTTTATAATAAAGAACAGAGGTGGAAAAATGAAATTTTTTGGAAACGACGACATGAGGAACATGCCGATGCGTTAAGAGAAAATATAGACTTCACTTCAAAATAGATTTTAAAATTTATTAATTACACATTACGACTTTCTATATAAAAAAATATACAAAAATTTAGGAATAAAATAAAATAAAATTATTTGTTTCATTTAAAAATAATGGACAATAATTTCAACATATTAAAATTAGAAATTCCAATAAGATTTCATATTCGGATGTCATAATATTTGATTCGTATGTCAAACAATCCGAAATTATTGTAGTTAAACCAGCAATAAATTAGGATTAACTGAAAAGGATAAAAATTTAATTCAAATAATCGATTCTACCAAAGTCGAATTAATCGAAATCGAATTATAATTCGAATACAAGAAAGATTATAATCTACTCTATTATTGTATCGATTCCAATTCCTATATAACGTAGATTTAATCTCAACCAGAGATTGTTAAATTTGAATTATCTTTCTAAGTATTCGAATCCTTGAATAGAGGATTTTTTGCTAAACTAAGAAGATTTTATCTTAATTTAAAAAAGAAAAAAATATATAAAAATACATGAAGAAACTTTTCAGTAAATTGTATTATTAACAAGAAAAAAAAACTTAATAGCATAAAATAAATCAATAGGTATTAAAAATAAACAAATAAATATTATTAAACCCTATGAAAAAAATCCCATACAGTTCAAATTTTTAGCACATTTTTCCTACAACATCTGAATTAGGAAAATCAACTGTACTAATTGATGTATAATTATTTCCTAGCTTAAATTTATTATCATAGATAGTATTTTTGTCTGCTCTGCAAGTTTACTTTTAACGCCAAGAAAGGTTTTAAAGCTCAGTTTGTTATTATTTGCAATTTTTGTAAAAAATTAATTAATTTAATTTACGTATGGAAAATTTAATATTACTAAAAGTGGGTCGATAAAATACTAAACTATACAAAACCTGTATGTTTCAATTTTTCAATACAATTTTTATATATTTCAAATTTCAAATTTTTTTTCTGTACAATTTCTCTACGTTAAAATTTCTGTACAATTATTTTTGTATGGAAAATTGAAATAACTTCACAAAAACTGTATGATTTCAGTATACACCGTTACGAATTCAGTACGAAACATGTACAACTTTTTTTCATAGGGAAATTGTAAACAACAACCCTTCATAATCACATCCCACATTTTCATACGCCCACCGCCAATAAATGTTCGTTAATTATATGAATCACTATAAAGAAAATTACATATAAAAAAAAGTATCATATATTACGAAATTTTGGCATCTTCAATTTGTGAAACATTTAATAAAAATCAAACTGTTGAAAAATTTTTCATTGATTTCTTAAAGTCCATAACTAAGCTTTTAAACTCGCGAACAGAATGTTCTTAATGATTTGATTTTAATATGTTATGTTGATATAGCTATCTTGAATTAGATCCTTATTTCGTTTAATTTTCATGTCACTTCATTCCGTAATATTACATATCTTGCGCCTATTAACTAAATCATATATAGTTCACTTTCAGTAAAGTTCACGATGTGTTCTCTTGATCGAGATCAGGCGCTATTTTTTTTTAAGAATAATATTCAATGTCATCTAGGAAGTTCGAAATGTAAACAATCATGTGAATTTTAATTTTATCTTTAGAATAAGATTTTGGTATGTAAACAAAACCTCGTTAGAACTGGTTATCCTAAGCAAATGTAAAACTAAATAATCACATTTTAAACGTTTTTAGGATATGACTTAGAACCTTAGATGTTCCGAGTGTAAATATAACCTTTATACGGCAAATCAGCTGAATAAAATTTAACTTTGTTTAAAGATACAACATTAAATAAATTTCTTAATGAAATAGAGCCTACAGAAGTTATTATTAGAAAACGATGACGAAATAAACTATGACTATATTGAAGTCTACTTAAAAAAGTATTTATGGATCGATTATTAATAAATTTAATATTATGAATTTTATTTTATTTTATAGAAATCAGCAGATACTAAATCAGTTTGGTATTTGGTCATTCCAACAAGATGATGACGTCGTCAGTTCGACCTAACTTGGAAGAATATTTTCCAAGACGATTTCATCATACAGACTTGAAGTTACTAAACCTTGCATCTTGGTTGATTGAACTGCTTATTAATCTTATTAATCGCTTCGTTATGTCTACAACGGTCATTTTGACACTTGTATTCCATCATCCCGAAGAGTCCGAACTTGCAGAACAGTTCGAAAAGTCAATTCCAACAGATATGTATGTCAGCAAATTGATCAAGGCCGATGGCCAATTTTGGGCGCAGTCACATTCCGAGAATAAAGATCAAGTGGATAAATCGTTACAAAATAAAATTCTGTCAATGGAACAAGATATTAATATATGATAACTTTAATACAAAATCAAAATGGTATATGTTAATACCTTAATCCACTCCTTATAATTCAGCGAATTGTGTCAATTAAATGAAATTACTTTGACTCTTGTAATGATTAGTAAATAAATACCGCATACGATGTATTAATAAAGATTGCTGTTATTAATTCCGACTGTGTTGTTTGCTAACAATAGTTAGTCTGATATTTAGAAGGCCAAATTGACTATTGGCCAAGACGACCTCTAGTCAACTTGTCTTTCGCGACGATCAATATTTAATAAAATTGACTCCAGCCGACGATTGAGGCAGTACTGATATTTTTAATTTTTATTAAATAATTTTTGCATAATTATTACATAATTAAAATCCTTCTGCTATATTATACATTCGTTTATAAATATAAACAATAAAGAACTGATTAAAACACTATTTTCTCAACGATTATTTTCTTCTTTCAATTACTTAGGATTTCCTTTATCTCAGGTTTTTATTAATTTCTTTCTATAAATTTTATAATACCACCTATACCTAAAAAACAATGTTACCATGTAAAATTATGGTAATTATAATTAAAAAAAAGTAAAACATGCATTAACCAAACCAATTGGAAAATAAAATACTCAAGTGTCACAATGCGATTCAATTATTACACCGTTATTCTAATTATTACATCGTTATTCTTTAATAAAAAAAAATCAACCGCGCACCTTTTTTAAAAAATTATGGATAATCCTAATTATATTCTAAATTTTATTAATGGTAAGGTACAGTATAATTTTAATAATTTGTAATGATGTTCGAAGGTTTTGCTAAAGTTCCTATACTTACTAGTTTACTTAATCTTTTTTTCTGTAAACTTATCTACAAATTATAATCGCTTTGTTTCGTACTTAACATTAATAATTTTTTTTTGTTCATGAAGTAAAAGTAAATTTTAATATTAATTTGTAAATTAAACAAATAATGAATTAATAAATTCTCATAATCCAATAATATAAATAAATTTACAAGTTTCTAATAAATATAACAATTAGCACTATTTTAATTATCGCCCGCCTGTTACTTTATTAATAAGATATGACATTTTTTGTTAATTATCGGTAAATCATTCACGAATCTCATCATAAGAATTATCATTATTTATAACCGTAAGTTTCATATTGATAAAAATATAATTTAATAATTTCACGACATTTTTATTTTTGTTATGTTACACAAACAATCTTTCTTAGGATTCTATTATTTAGTCTCACGTCAATCTCAAAAAAGGTAAATAATCGGGAGCAACTTCAGAGATTACATTACTTCACGGTTCACGGTAAGTAATGCATTTGATTGGATATTTTGCCACGTGAAGTTACGGTATAATTATTCGGCCCCCTGATTATTATAAATAATTTTATTCTCTACTATCATAATTATTATTTACTTTATTCTTTCTCTTACAATATTTATCCTTTAATGTTACATGCACAAATGTTGCTGAATCAATTTATATAAAAAATGAGCAAGAAGCAATCCAACAATAAGCAAGAATAAAAAAATAATCATAAACAAGAAGTAACAACAGAATGAATTTATTGAATACTTAAGTAAATTTAATTTCGTTATCATTTATCAGTCAAAATGCATGTGATCATAAAGTCTTTATCCGCTATGCACATATAATTATACATGTATATAATAATATTAAAATTATTACATTCAATTTCGCGATTATACTGCTTTTATATACATTAATAATTTTTCATTTAAAATACTGTAAATAGAATAATATAATATTTTTAAAGTAAACATTATGTTACTAATAGTTTAAATTGTTATATCACGAACATAGTTTAAATAAACTCTTTCCGTGACAAATTACTTCACGGTCAAAGTATAATAATCATATACGGCCGTGTAATTATTATCAGTACTAGTTGTGGTTGCAAATGCGTTAATAGCAGATGTAGCTGACATATCTTTCATGATGGTGTTGCCGTATCAAATGATTTGATCAATAAAGGTAAAATACTTCAGATAATCATTATTTTATCATCACATCTATCAAAAAAATAAATATCTATTTCCAACAAGTGCAGAGGAACGAGCCAATCGCCTATAGAAGTAAACGATTCAACTCCAGAAAGCAATAGCTTAATATGTGAAGATGAAAAGAAACCTGAAACCCCTATTTTATTTGTCGACATGCGAATATATTTTGTAGACGAACATTTTGTCTGTGCTTTATTATTAATTGTCGGTATATATATATATACATGTATATACGTTATTGTTTGAACCGGACCATGAACAATGAACTCAATTTTAAAATTCACCTTTTAAGTAACCAACCTAAAGTACGGACGATATTGCAGATCGGTCCAATCCTCCAAATTATGATCGTTCTATAATAATTGAGTGAGAATTTATTATTTTCTTGCGCTTATACATACTTATTTAACGCAATACATCATTGCAAATGTAAACACAAATTTCTATAAAAAAATTTTTAAAATATGATTTCAGATCGGACCGACGCAGTAATCGTTATTAACAGTCGGATTGGTGGTGTGGTGTTTATGGAAAATAAGATCATAATAGTTTTTTAGCAGGTCTGAAAGTTTCTAGATTAAATTTGAAAATTGTTATAACTAGTGATTAATTACTTTTTTTTCCTAAGATCGTCGCATTAATTTCTTTTTCAGGAAAAAAATTTATGATTAATTTCATCATGCAAATTAGTTTAATAAGTAATTTTTCAAAGAGTTCATACGTCCTTTAAAATAAAACAAACTCCTGTCATATTATAGTTTTATAGTTTCGATAAATTAAAAGAAAAAGGTATCGTGCGACCAATTAGTTCTTTAAGTTGTAATTCTCACTTCATTTAGGAAAAAAACAATGAAATCATTTAAAATTTTATTTTTATTGGATAAACATTTGGGCGTATTGTGTACTACCTAAAGTATAATGTTTTATATTATAGTCCGAAATATTACATCATTATGATGATCACAATAAAAATAAACATTATTTTAGTATTGAGTGTTACATCACTAATCAATAATTCCGAAATTCTCGGTTAAAAGCATGCCGATTTACAACGAAAAAAAAGTTTGCTCCTTAATTTTTCAATTGTAAACGTGAGATTACTTTATATCTTAAACTGCAAAAATTAATATTTCCGCTATTAAATACAAACATGTCAAAAACAGAAGCAAATCATGATGAAAGCTTATACATATCAGAAATGATTAATTCAACAGATAATATTAATAACCTAATTGATAAATTATTCATATTATTGGTTAAAATACAAAATGAAAGTAAAAATTTTTATGAAACGAAACATTTTCTTAATAAATGTATTACTCTTTCTACTCGATCAACTGATGAAATTTTCATTTGGCTTAATGAAAACCAATATGAATCAAAATATGCTTTGATCCTTGGAATTTTTTACTATTACAATATGCTTGGTCTAGATAAAGATAATAATAATGAAGCATATAATTTAATAAAAACTGCAAGTGATTATCCAATTGCGCAATTATATTTAGGCAGATGCTATAAAAATGGATTTGGAATTGATGTAAATGATAACCTTGCATTTAAATGGCATAAAATGGCTGCTGAAAATGGACAAATAAATGCACAATTTCCTCTTGCATTATTCTATGAAAATGGTGAAGGAACTGAAAAGAGTTTAGAGAAAGCCTTTGATTGGTATCAAAAAGCTGCTAATAATAATTATGTAGATGCACAATTTCATCTAGCATTGTTATATAACAATGGTAAAGGAACTGAAAAGAATTTAGAAAAAGCTTTTTATTGGTATCAAAAAGCTGCTAATAATAATTATGTAGATGCATATTATAGTCTTGCCATTTTATATGAATATGGTGAAGGAACTGAAAAGAATATAGAAAAAGCTTTTTATTGGTATCAAAAAGCTGCTAATAATAATAATATAAGTGCGCAATATAATGTTGCATTATCATACCAAAAAGGTGAAGGAATTAAAAAGAATTTAGAAAAAGCTTTTTATTGGTATCAAATAGCTGCTAAAAATGGACAAATAAATGCACAGTATAATCTTGCATTATTATATGAAAATGGTAAAGGAACTAAAAAAAATTTAAAAAAAGCTTTTTATTGGTATCAAATAGCTGCTGATAATGGACAAATAATTGCACAATATAGTCTTGCATTATTATATGAAAATGGTGAAGGAACTGAAAAGAATTTAGAAAAAGCTTTTTATTGGTATCAAAAATCTGCTGAAAATAATTTTACAGTTTCACAATTAAGTCTTGCATTATTATGTAAAAATTGGAAAGAATTAGAAAAGAATTTAGAGAAGGCCTTTTATTGGTATCAAAAAGCTGCTGAAAATGAACAAAAGTATGCACAATATGAACTTGCAATATTATATGAAAATGGTGAAGGAATTGAAAAAAATTTAGAAAAAGCTTTTTATTGGTATCATATAGCTGCTAATAATAATTGTATATATGCACAATTAAGCCTTGCATTTTTATATGAAAATGGTGAAGGAATTGAAATAAATTTAGAAAAAGCTTTTTATTGGTATCAAAAAGCTGCTGAAAATGGACAAACAAATGCACAATATAATCTTGCATTATTATATGAAGGCAAAGAAATTGAAAAAGCTACTAATAATAAACAAATAGACACACAATATAATCATGCATTATTATATAAAGGTAAAGGAATTGAAAAGAATTTAGAGAAGGCTTTTTATTGGTATCAAAAGTCTGCTGAAAATAATGTTGCTGTTGCACAATTAAGACTTGCATTATTATATAAAAATGGTGAAGGAACAGAAATTAATTTAGGAAAATCATTTTATTGGTATCAAAAAGCTGCTGATAATAAACAAATATATGCATATTATAATCTTTCATTATTATATAAAAATGGTGAAGGAATTGAAAAGAATTTAGAGAAAGCCTTTTATTGGGATGCACAATATAATATTGCATTATTTTATGAAAATGATGAAGGAACTGAAAAAATTTTAGAGAAAACTTTTTATTGGTTTCAAGAAGCTGCTAATAATGAACAAATATATGCATATTTTAATCTTGCAACATTATATGAAAATGGTGAAGGAACTGAAAAAAGTTTAGAAAAAGCCTTTTATTGGTATCAAAAAGCAGCAGAAAATGAATATGTAAAAGCACAACATATACTTGCAATATCATATGAAATTGGTGAAGGAATAGAAAAGAATTTAGAAAAAGCCTTTTATTGGTATCAAAAAGCTGCTGAAAATAATTTTAAAGCTTCACAATTTCTTTTTGGATCAATATATAAAAATGGTAAAGGAATAGAAAAAAATTTAGAAAAAGCATTTTATTGGTATCAAAAAGCAGCAGAAAATGAAAATGCAAAAGTACAATGTATACTTGCAATATTATATGAAGATGGTAATGAAATAGAAAAAAATTTAGAAAAGGCCTTTTATTGGTATCAAAAAGCTGCTGAAAATAATTTTGCATTTGCACAATTTAGTCTTGCATTATTATATGAAAAAGGTGAAGGAACAGAAAAAAATTTTGAAAAGGAATTTTATTGGTATCAAAAAGCTGCTGAAAATAATTTTAAAGAAGCACAATTTAGTCTTGCATTAATATATGAAAATGGTAAAGAAATAGAAAAAGATTTAAATAATGCTATTTTTTGGTATCAAAAAGCTGGTGAAAATAATGATGCAAGAGCACAATTTAAACTTGCATTATTATATGAAAATGGTGAAGTAGTAGAAAAAAATTTAAAGAAAGCTTTATATTGGTATCAAAAATTATCAATAAATTCAAATATATCTAATGCATCTTATGAAAATAATTTATTTAAACTTAAATTAAATAAAGGATTTTTAATTGAATCAGAAAATGAAATTTATAAAACATGTAATAGTTGCTTTAAAAAAAGAAGACACTTAAGAAATCATGAAATTTGTATAATTTGTTATCAATCAAATTTATTATATGAACCAAGTGGAAATAAAATTATTGATGACTTTATTAAAGATACACAAATTAATTTTATTCAAGAATCTAGCAGAATGAAATTTATTCCATATAATCAATTTAAAATTATAAAAAAAATTGGGCAAGGTGGTTATAGTATAGTTTATAAAGCTATTTGGAAAAATGGGCCTGGTTATTGGAATGAAGAAATAGAAAATTTTGAATATAATGATCCTAATTTAACAGTTGCTTTAAAACAACTTAACAATTCTAAAAATATTACTTCTAAGGAATTAAATGAGGTAAATTAATTTGATTATAATACTTTATTTTATATATATAAATTTTGTATTAATATAAATAATTTTATTAATATAGCTTAGAATAATTTATAAAATTGATTCAAATGAAGGATTTATGAAATCCTTTTATTATTTAAATAGATATTATGGTATTACTAAAGATCCTAATACAGATGATTTGATAATAATCTTGAAATATTATAAATGTGATTTAAAAACTTTTATAGCAGAAAACTTTAATAATCTTGGCTGGGATAAAAAATTATGTATTTTAAAACAAATTATAAGAGGACTTCATTTTATTCATTCTCAAAGTATTATTCATCAGGATTTTCATAGTGGAAATATTCTTTGTGAAAATGAATATGATATTGTAATAAGTGATTTAGGAATTAGTAAATTATCAGCTGATTTATCAGATAATAATGAATTTTATTGTATTATCTCTTATACTGCTCCAGAAATATTTCAAGGAAAAAAATCTGAAAAATGTACTAAAGCTTCAGATATATATAGTTTTGGTATGATTATGTGGGAATTAATGGTTGGTAGAAGACCTTTTTGGGATCGAGATTATGATACATTACTTATTATTGATATTTGTGATAATATTCGTCCTTCTATTGTTACAAATGCACCTAAAGGTTATATTGAAATAATGCAAGAATGTTGGTCTGCTGATCCAAATAAAAGACCAACTACTATTCATATTTGGAACCTTATTGATGAATTCTTTTTAAATGAAAAAAAAGTTCCAACTAAAATTATATTATCATCAGATATTGGACCTATTATAGAAAATGGTAATATAATAATTTTTGCAAAATTTGCAAATTGTTTAAATAGATTTATTATTAATTTGAATTAATTTATTAATAATTTTTTTTTAGAATTTATTAAAGATAGTTATAATGAAGGTAAGTAAAGGAAATAAAATATATATTATAACAATATTAAAAATTCATAAATTAACAATTATTATTATTATAGATTATATTTCTAAAGCATTTGAATTTGATATTTAATAATATGAAACAATTTTGTTATATTGATGTAAATGAATATTTATCTACAAAATTAAATTTTTAATTTATATATTACATTTTTTTATTATATAATAATTATTGAAAATTTTTTTTATAATATTAAAATTTAAAAATTGTTTCATATAATCTATTTAATTTTGATTATGAATGATTATAAGTTCATTATTATATATTAATAAATTTTTATATATAAAATTCTAACCAATAATTCTAATTATAAGAAGAATTCATATAAACAAACTTGTCAATAATATTTGCTTCAAATATAAATATAAAAATTTCCTAAGAATTGATTGTGATAAAATATAAATTACTAATTTTATTAATTTTAAATAATATAATTAATTAAATTAATTAGATAAATTTTTTTTATAAGATAGTTTAATATTAGTAAAGTTTAAAACTATTATAAATCAATACTTTATATATATTAATTGTGATTTAAGATTATTATTTATTAAAATTTTTACAATGAAAGAGCTTTTAAAAGTGAGTTATGAGACTAGAAAATTAATTTTGAATAATTGATAATCTAAATAAATTATATTATAATAAACATACTTAGCTATTAAAAGATTGCATCAAAAATATATATTAAATTGAATCAATTAATAAATAATAATAAAAACTCTTTTTTTAAACATACCTTAAAATAAGAGAGAATAAAAAACTAAATGAAAAACATTTCGTTTTACCTCTTAAATTAATAAAATAAATACTAATATACTATCAATATTTCACCTACCTAAAGTACTTCTAAGACTGTTACTCCTGTTGTAGCGATAGAAGTTAACCTACTGCCTTTGATAAAATGTAAAGAAAAAGACACTTTCAAAGATATTACAGAAAAAACTAAAGCTTTCTTCAAAGTTGATGCAAGTTTCAACTTGTCTGAAAATATTTTGGATAAAGTTATATCATCAGTATAAGCTTTTAACTGACTAAAATTTTTTTCCATAGTTTTTTTTCTCATAAAGATTTTTCTGGTATCATATATTTCAAAAGTTTCTTTGTTATCAACTTATTCTTTGACAAATATGATTCATTAACTAAAGAAAACATAATCAAACATATTTTTTTTTTGTAATAAAGAAGAACAAGATCATTTCTGTTTAGTCCAATTACCAAAGTTAGAAAATTGCACATTTTTATCCTCTGATGTTTTACTGATACAACCTTTCATATCTGTATGATCGATCAAGGTTACAGAAATTTCCCTAGATTTTACTAAACATAGAATTAAAACTACATTTGGAATGATCATTTACTTTACTATGAAACAAAAAATATGTGGCAATAAGCCACTATTACCTATGTGAAAATGCAAATTTTAAAGGATAAAAGAATTTTACAGCCTTTTATTTTTAATGATATGATTAGAGTCTATATATGTAATTTATTTATGCAGATATTCTCAAAGTAGTTTAAATATTCTACAAAACATACTATACTTCTAAGATTATATACTGAAAAATAACACATTGATATAAAAAGAAAAATTAACACACTTGTTTGGATTATTTCTATAATAATTTTCAATATGCATTTTTCTATTTTGTCTTAGCAGATAATTATGAAGCAGTACTCAATAATGAAAATTTAACTATCTATGATAAATATGTGATCTAGACAAATTTGAAAGCAAAACTTTATGCCATTTGTTCATCACATCACAAAGCCAATAATTGTCCTAAATGAAGGAGAAATTTTACTAATCAAAATATATAAAACCTATACCAACATTTTCAACTAGCATAATACAATTATAAAGCTTCACCTAAAAAATTAAAAGACACAATAGTTTGAGTTATTCAAAGCGTCTTATTATTATTGAATCTATTTATAGGATGTATTCTTTTTCAACAATTTATTAAGTAGTTTAATAATATTTGCAAATCCTTTTATGAATCTTCTGTAATAAATCTGAATATTTTTTTTGCCAACACTATTAAAGGTTAATCAAACATTAATATAAATCAACAACTTACCTCACTTTGAAAGAACAAAACTGAGTATACTAATGAAATAATAACAATAACCATCAAATAGATAAAACTACCAATCTGAATCCTAGTCAAATAATATTCACTAAACATAAATGATGATTTTTTTTAACAATATTATCTGTCTTATACTTAATAGCTACTTATACAAAAGTATAAAAGAAGGTAGTTCTATATATATTAACAATAATGATAACTTTAAAACCTTTATCAAGTCCTAATTTATAATCATAAGGGAAATATGAACATATTAATAAACACTTTAGTTTTTATTGTTAAATATGTAAAATCAATAAAAAATTCATTTAATATTAAAATTATTAATTATATAAGCTGATACCCAAAATTTTAATGCTAAGAAATAGATGAAGATATTGAACTGATTATTTTTTTTTTTTAATTTCAGTATGTAGTGTTTAGATAAAACGTTAAGACTGAGAATCTCAAGTATCTTATTTATGTCAGCTTCACCCCTAGGTCTCTGCCTGTCATTTCTGCCATTAGAAACTTACACCATTATAACTGGCCCAGATATCACCGTCGCCCTTAGTAGTGCTGTTGCTAGAATTAAGCCTATTAGGAAGATTTAACACCTCCTACCGGTTACCAGTTATTCAGGATCACATATTACTATAGGATTGAGGGATCCATTATACCATATACCTTGCTAGAATGTACTCTTACCCCAATTAATCCCACAGGGTTCATGAGATTATTATCACAAGATTTGCCTAAACGGTGAACTAGAAGTGATGATCAAGCTATATTGACAAATATCTTAGGAATCAAACCTAACTTCAGACCTAATGATATGCTCGATTAGACAGTGCTGCAGCGTGCAATAAAGTCTATTATCACCTTTAATCTAATCTACTAATTTCTGATCAATTACTTCCTTAATTTATATACATCTTATGATTATATACAGAAATAAGGATCCTGCCGTGTGAGATGTAAAACTGTATCCATTACAGACCAATCAGTGAAGGCTAAGTTTCTATCGATTCCAGCTTCATTTGCATCTACTTGTTCTTACATCGTGCAGTATTTAGGCATGATCAACATTGATTGATAGATTGATCAACCAGAATCTAACTTATATTAGTATATACGTCCACTTATTTAGTTACAAAGAAATTCCTTATAGAAAATCATATAGTTTTTATGTATCGCACGATACCTGAACCATGGCCTATTGCTATATAATAAAACTTTAGCTTAATAGGGGCTTGCGGAATAACCACTATGCAAGGATTGCTAATTCTCTATATTGAACTGATTATTGACTCCTTTTCATCTACTATTATCCAACAACAAAAAACTATTAAAGGTTTAAAAAACATCAATATAATGCATTAAATTATCTCAAATCCTTTACATTCACGATTAATACTTTTGTTCAATCATGTACTACATTCAAAAATATTCTTATAAAAAATAAATTACATTTCTAAGTATATGCCACTAATATCTTTTTATTTTATATAATCTTTAATACTAATATTAAACTAATATCAAAGACCTTTCACAATATACTATTTCTATAGATTTTTGCATACAAGTTTTATCAAATAACTATTTCACATCAATTAATTTTATACCTTCTTCTTTTTTAATTTTCCTTGCCTCTCATAATGTTTGAGATTTTACAAATATCACTAAATAACGATAACATAATATTTTAGAAAATTATCTTTTATTTCAATTAAATATTATTAGATTACAAGAAACTAACTTTTATAATAACATATTAAACTATTTATTTGAGAAAATATTTCTAATTTTATTATATCTTTAGCTTCTAACTATTTTTGCAAAATGCTGGCTTCCTAAAAAAAAAAAGAAAATAGGAAAGAGATAAATTTCTGCCTAAAAATCATTTCACTAGAAAAGAAAAAGGAAGAAATCATTTTTTTCAGAATATTCTGAAAGTTTATCAGTTTTATATTATAACTAAACAAAAATTTCAATTAATTTGAAATTTTTATATTATTTATACTATTTATCATAAATGTTTCAAATAGATAATTTTGTATCATTTGATTGCAAAATCAATGATTATTTAATCATTGCTTAAGAATAATATAAAAAATCATTCTATAATTAATAGTTTCTTAAGAATGATAATGAAATCATTCTTTTAGAATGATAATTTAATTATTCCTTAAGAATAATATAGAAAATCATTCTTTCAAAATGATAATTTGATTATTTATTAAAAATATTATAGAAAATAATCATTTTTTCAAAACGATAAAAAAAATATTGTTCTTTCAAAATAATAATGACATCGTTTTAAAAAAATGATAAAAATCATTCTTTTTGAAAGGATAATGAATTATTTCTTAAGAACAATGAAAAAATCATCCTTTCAGAATGATAATATCATTATTTCAAAAGAATGATAAAAATATTCTTTTCATAATAATATAAAAAATATTCTTTTAGAATGATATTCCAAAAGAATGATAATGACATTATTCTAAAAAGAATGATAAAAAACATTGTTTCTTTAAATAATGATATATTATTCTGAAAGAATGATAAAAAAAAATCATTCTTTCAGAATGATAATGAATCATTTTAAAAAATAATAAAAAATCTAAAAAATCGTTCTTTTAGAATAATAATAACATTATTTCAAAGAATGATAAAAAATCATTCTTTTCAGAATGATGATAAATCATTCTAAAAGACTTATAAAAAAATAATCATTCTTCAGAATAGTAATATATCATTTCTTTAGAAATGATTATATCATCTCTATAGAGATAATCGTTCGTTTTTTTAAAATGAATGTATCATTCTTTTGAGATATTATATCATCATCTTTGGAAACGATTATTCATTTCTTTAAAGACAATTCTAAATTTCTTTGAAATGATTTTATTATTTCTTTTAAGATGTTTTTTATCATCTCTTTTGGGATAAATATATCTTCCTTTAGAATTATTATATCATCTCTTTGAGAATAATTGTTTGTTCCTTTAAGAATGATTGTATCATTCTTTTAAAAAAATTATTTATTTTTTTTAGAAATAATTTTATCATTTCTTTAGAATGATTACTCTTAAAATATTTTTATAATTTTTGCAAAAAAATGGCTTAATAGATTATGATTAGTGAGATACAATTGATTTGTTTATCAAATCTTGAGTTTGACTAAAATTTTGCTGAATATTATAACTAAAAAGACTTAATGCTAAAAATAATGCTAAATTATATGTGATGTAATGTAACAAATTACTATTGATTTTTATAACTTAAGCTAAATTTTTGACAAATCAATTAACTGAATGATTGATAAAAGACATTAATGCTGAAATAATACTAAATTGTGTGTGATGTGACAAATTACTATCAATTTTTGTAAGTTAAGCCAATTTTTTTTTTGAATTAGATTACCAAATTAGCTGAATATTTATCAAAAGTCTAATGTTAAAATAATATTAAATTATATGTAGTGTAATAAATAACTATCAATTTTTATAACTCAAGCTGAATTTTTATAACCAAATCTGCTAAATGTTTACTAAAAGTATTAGTGCTGAAAAGAATGATTTCAACTAGTGTATTATGAGTTATAATTATACTATAATATTAAATAAATGTTTTTAATATCATTATTATGACTTCTTGACCTTCATCACTAAAGAATTTAGTGTACAAAAGAAGAAAATATGTTTTTTTTTTATTCTTACTGATCTATGCTTTCAAATTCCAGTTTATCAAAATAAATTAAATTAGTTTCTTATAAGGATACAGACATATAATAATGTTATAACATTAGGTTATAACATATGGAAGCTTTGCAGTAAAAAGGAAAGAAACTTTAAAAAAATTAAAATTTTACTTTCTAAGCTAATTATATTTTTTTAGTAAAATAAGTCCAGATTTAACATTAACTTAAAAAAAATTTTTTTTAGAGTTTCTTCCCTTTTTACTGTAAAACTCCTATATAGAATTTTGCAATTTGATTTGATATTTGAATATTTGATTTGAAAAACAAATTAAATACAAATACAAATTTATATTTGATTAAATTTAAATTAAAGAATGATTTATTTTATCAAATCCAAACTAGTGTTTGATTCAATTTGATCAAATTTAAATCAAGTATTCAAATATTTGATTTGATTTAAATCAATAATAAAGTACTTTAGGGTAGCTCTTATTAAGAAAACTATAGTAAAAAGTGCTTCTATAACTTTAGAAATACCTTTTTTACTAAGAATACCATAGTAAAAAAGCATCTTCGCAGCTTTAAAAATGCCTTTTTTACTAAGAAAACTATAGTAAAAAGTGTTTCTCTACTTTAAAATGCTTTATTACTAAGAAAACATAGTAAAAAATACCTTCACAGCTTTAGAAATGTTATTTTACTAAGAAAATATAGCAATCACAATACATTTCTCCAATTATGAGTAGCAAATAGTATTACATATAGTACTGATCATTTTGTCAAATAATTTTTATATAAAATTTCATGTCTTTATTTACTTCATTGATAAGCAAGCTATATAATTTTATTATACTTTTTTAAGATTTTTTTTATATGATTATTTGTTGAGTTTACAACTATTAATTTATCAACTTAAAAACTTGAACATTTAAATTAACTTTTAGTGGATCTTACTTGAAAAACAAACAATTTTACTTTTAAATTTATAATTCTTTCAAATATTTTTTTTTGTATTAAAAATAAAAATAAAACATTTTTTTTAAAAAAAATGAACAAATAATGTTTTTGAATAAATTCCAACTTTATATTAACAAGTTGAAAATTTGTCACTTGTAAAAGAAAAGATATAATAAAGTTTATCATTTAAATTAAAAGTTTGAAAGGAAAACTCTTGAAAGGTATTTCTATTAAAAATAATTTTTGCTTAATATATTTGCTTTTATATTTTATATATTTTATTCTTAATATATTATAATACATTGAATTAATATTAAATGTTACTTTTTTTTACTTGGATTTTTAAAATTTCAATATTTATTTTTTTTTATTTAGATAATATAGTAGCAAATATATTAATTAGTATTTATTTTTTTTTTAAATGTAAGAAATAATCAACTCTAATATTATTAAACAAACTTTTACTTAACTTTTAGAAGGTATTCTATTAATCATAAAGTATGCTATCAACAAAAAAAAAGTAAAAATAAAATAGCATTATAATATGAAAAAATAATACTTCAAAGTTGGAAGATACCAAATTCTTCTACTAATGAAAAATTGAATAAATATTAGTATTTTTAAAAAAAAATTAATTTTTTGAATTTTACATAAAAACTATTTGAAAACCAACATTTATAACTTAAGAACTCTTGTAAATTTACATATATTTTTATTGTTGTAACTGTTGTAACTATGTATTTGTTTATACTTTTAAAGGATCTTAAAAAATACCTTAATTTTAAAATGAAATTTTATGTATATGTCAAAAAAAAATATATTAAAACACGAAAAAATTGATTGAACCTGATAATATATATAATATTCAGTTAAATTATTTAATTTAGATCAATATTGTATAATAAAACAAGTAAACAAAAATAAAATGAAGTAATATTAATATGGTTACATAAAATTCATTTTAATATGAAAATTGTTTTCATTCATAATGCATTGTGATTAATAGTAAAAAATACTTTCACAGCTTTAAAAACGTTATTTTACTAAGAACATATAGTAAAAAATGCCTCTGTGACTTTGGACATGTTTTTATTAAGAAACCTAGTAAAAAAATGCGTCTGCAGCTTTGAAAATCTTTTTTTACTAATAAAATGATTACAAAGTTAAGATAGCCTTATAAAAAATTAAATAAGAAAATATTACGTTTTTATAAGGTTTATATACATAATTAATGATCTGTATCATAATTCTGTATGTTTTATAAGGATTTATTTTTTAGAAATTGATGTATACAGAATTATTAATGAATTTGAAATATGTATAAATTTTACATAAAATAAAAAGATAAAAATAACAATATTCAAACCAAAAAACAATCATTTTTCTTATACTTTGAATATATAGATATCAAATTAAGTTTGAATATTACATTGTGATAATACTAAAGATTTATTACATCATTTTTGTCCAATAAATTAGCTCACTTCATTATATTTATCGATTAATAAATTAGATTTAACATGTTTTACAAATTTCTTATTTAATGATCGTCATCAACTAATAGATATCAATAGTTCTTTATTTATTTTTCTGCAGAAGAAAATTTTTTATGTTGTTTAAAATGATTTATTTTTTGAAATCTAATATATACAGAATTATTAAGAAATTTAATAACATATAAATTTTACATAAAATAAAAAATAACAAAAATAAAATAATAAAATAATAATATTATATATCTAATTGAATTTTTTAATGCAAGTAATATTGAAACTTTTTATGTAAGATATTTAAGAAAAGAATGAGTGTAAAAGCAAAAGTATTACAATATACAAGTAATTTAACATGAGAAAAAATCTTTAATAAACAGATTATACAAACTAAAAATTTTTTTCTTGTACTATAAATGTGCAGATACCAAATTAAGCTTAAATATTATATTTGTGATAATTCTAAGATTTTTTTATTTTGATCATCATGTTTATCAATCATAAATAAGATTTATTAGTGAAATGAGCATGATCAGTTGACCTCTTGAATTTTAATTGGTAACAGTTTTGTTAAACCCAATTTCACTGACACAAATAATTTTCAATACATTCTGAACGATAAGATATTTCCAATTGAAGAAATTTTCCTCTCTATTAATACAGAAGATTTGTATTCCTTATGTTCACTTTTGAAACACAAAAATTTTCTTATAAACATGCTGTTGATTCAAGATCCTTTAAATATCCTATATTTTCAAAATCCAAAATTTTCTAAACTTTAATAAAAGATGGTACATGTCAACTCTCACCAATTGTCAAATGAGAAAATTACAAGAAAGAATAAGATATCATAAAAGAGGTATATCTATTTTAGTAGATACTAATTTACTTTGTAGTAATATGTGATTCCAATGTTTATGAACAGCATATTTACCATTTGACATATATATTCACATAGTATGTGTGGCATTTCATGATACTGACATGTATATTCACTTTGGTTTTGCATATTAGCAGTAATTCAGATAGCTGTAGGTAGGGTTCTGCAATTCAATTTGATATTTAAATATTTGATTGATTCGATCAAATTTAAATCAAAGAATGATTTATTTGATCAAATTCAAATTAATGTTTGATTCGATTCGATCAAATTCAAATCAAGTATTCAAATATTTGATTTGATTTGAATTAATAATAAAGCCATCTCCAAAGCTTCAGGAGTGATTTATACTAAGAAAACTATAGTAAAAAGTGCCTCTGCAGCTTCAGAAATACCTTTTTTACTAAGAAAAACATAGTAAAAAGCACCTTTGCAGCTTCAGAAATACCTTTTTTACTAAGAAAAATATAGTAAAAAACGTCTTTACGGCTTTCAGAAACGTTATTTTACTAAGATAACATAGTAAAAAATGCCTCTGTAGCTTCAGAAACATTTTTTTAATAATAAAATGGTTATAAAATTGAGATAGTAGTTTTTACTAAGTTTTCTTAGTAAAATCGAAGCTACGATAGCAGTTATTACTAAGTTTTCTTAGTAAATTGAAGCCGCTATAGTGGGTATTACTAAGTTTTCTTAATAAACTGAAACTGCAATAGCGGTTTTTACTAAGTTTTCTTAGTAAAACTGAAGCTGCAATGGCGGTTATTACTAAAATTTCTTAGTAAAACTGAGACTGTAGAGTTATTTTGTTAAGTTTAATAGTATAAATTTACCTGTTACTAAACTTACTTTGTAAAAGCTATTTTTGAAATTTTTTAGTACAATTACTAATAATTTTCTTAATTAAACCTTTATAATAACTTTATTTTAATATATCATTGTAAAAATTAAAATTTTTTATATTCAATTCGATTCGATTCGATCAAATATTTGATTTGATTTGATTCGATTTTGAGGAACCCTAGTATTGTTTATTGATCTCTTATAATTTAAAATAAAAAAAGATTCTTATATAATATATAGTGAAGTATTTGCATGATATTTCACAATTTAATTTGCATAACGTATAATAAATTGATTTTGATATGCATGACATATTTAATGATATTGACATAATTAATTCATGTGATCTTAAGCTTCGGACTTCACAATGGTGATACCGTTTCCTAGTTATAGAGGTAGACCTTTTACAATAACATAGTTAAAGCATTTGCTGGGATCAGGAATCTTTCATTTCTTTTTTTCATACATCCCATAAAGTGATTATTGCAAAGATTTTTTTCTTAGGCTTCCATATTTCTATTATGATAAATTCATTGAAATTCCATTCCTTGTTTCGCATTTCTCTAAGAGTATTTTCAACACTTTTGTGAATTGAGCGTAAGGTTGTTAGACGAAATCAAGAGTTTAGACAGACGTCTAAATAGTAAAAGTAAAACTTGATTAAAACCTTATTAAAAAATCTGCAAAATTTGGAAAAAGGTAAAACTATATCAAAGCTTATAAAAATGGTGAAACTATATCAAACACTTAGTAAAAATTTAGCGAAACTAAAGGTTTTACCATTTTGCTAAATCCAAAATGAGTTTAGACAAGCAACCTTAATTGAACGTGTATTATTCATATCCATAGCCTCCATCATAATCCTCTCTCCAATATATTTGAGAAGCTGGGATTTACCTTGCTTTACAGTATCTATTCTTTTCATGAAAAATTTTTTAGTTTACTACATCTTCATGCTTAACCCTAAAATATTTCTTTTTACTAGTAAAACAGAAGGAAAATAATACCTCTTCATATGCTATCTTTAGATAAGATATTCCATTTTTATCATAAGATAAGCATTTACTTGATCACACAACTTTCTCATCACATTTATAGTAATTTTGACTATTTCAGTCCAGTACGCTACTTTGAAAATTTCTTCTCTAGAGAAGGCTTCATCACATTTTTCATAATACCTATCCAGGCAGGTGAGATATAAAGAATCGGTATCCCCATATTTTATCCCAAACCCTTTCTTTGATACAAATTCAGCAACAAGATTAAGGTTGTCTTTTCCCGCTATAGTAGTTCTACAGGCTAATTTATGAAGAAAGATAGGGGATAGTGAGTTTCCACTTTCACATAAAAAGTGTTCACATATACCTTTCAAAGCTTTTGCTTCAAATCCTAATAATCGTAATCAAAGCATATGGTTGAGTATTCTAAATTTAAGCTTTCCAGAATCTTTTTGCCTTTTTTTTAGCTGAACTTATTATCTTTTCAAGATGTTGCTTTTTCTTTTCTAGTGGGTTAGACGTGCTTTAAGATCCAACCTCTTATTCCAATATGACCAAATATAGGCCTTTCTTTTCTGGTTGGTTATCATGGCGAACACATTAAGTTTGAACGATATGATTATTAAACAAAAACTCAATCTTATGCAAGTTATTTCTATTATTTTACGCAATATTGACATCCTCCCATTACAAGTCTTTTACTTTCAATCCCTTTTTTAGGTGAAAATATGTATACACTAGGATATTTCCCTTTTTCTATGTTTTCAGGAACGCTTGTACTTATTATTATATCTCGTTTAACAGCATATACTTCAAGAAGTTTCTGTATCTTCATTCTATTTGCGCAATAGTATGTGTCGAAAGGAGAAACTTAAGCTATAGAGGCAACTTCTCTATAATCATTTATTATACTTTAGTTTACTAAAAGCTCTTGATAGCACAGTGCATCTATAATACAGCAATGTGCTACTTCACGCATATTTCTCGCGGTTGTTAAGAAGGAGCTTTTTTTCACCTCTGAATAGATTTTTCACATTTTATCATATGGCATGTCGGCTTTACTATAAAGACCACACTTTTGTAAGAAAAATTTAAGTGAACCTTTCTTTTTGACTTCAGAATGAGGGAAACGTTTTTTGAAGCACACTCAGACGTCAATCAGTATGCAACCTGGCAGTTTAAGTAAACTAGAAGTAAAATCATCTTCTGTACTAATTTTGATCTTAATTGGACCACCCATATATTCTTTCTCCTCTGGATTCTCTTCACCTTCCTCAAGAGCCTTAACAGGATACTTTTTCACAAAATCATTTTCAGATTTCGCTCCTATCTTTCCACGGTATTTCCACTTTAGAATTTATTTCTTTGTTTTGAACTTTCCTGTCATTCGTTTTCACATCTATTCAAGTATATTGAGATAATAGGCCCTTTTCATAATAAAATGCTAATCATAGTCTGAATTGTTAAACCCAATTTGGATGTTAGAGGCAAATGCTTTTCAGCAGAGAACGAATGCTTTTAGCAGATTTTCTTGGTTTTCACATATGATAGTGATGCATCTCAGATCTGGTTCTGTTTCAACATCAACAAGACATATTTGCTTTAGTGGTTTTTCCAATGCAATGTCATGCTGATCATAAAGACATTGAGGACTTTGACAAATTCATTCAACTCTCATGATTGGGTCTATATATCTCACATGAGAACAAAAGTATAATTTCATAAGAGAGCTAAAATAGTGGGCTGGTCCATTTGCCTTGCTTGTAAATATATTTGTTTATTGTAAACCATCCAAAGTGTTAAATTCCATTCTCTCAGGCTACCTTATGGTGAAATGAGTATAAATCATCTGATGCAGTTTCAAAGTTATTATCTTGAACAGCTTTAATAGCAGTTTTTCTACTACTAGTACTGTTTATATAAATTTGCAAATATGACTTTTTTCCCATATGATAGCTACGAAAAGAAAATGCCTTAATATGCTCTATTGAAAATATCTTTACACTACAAGATAAATATCCCTTATTTTTATTTCGCATTCATCGGAAGATTCATCATCCAACACAAGAATATCAAAGAATACCCAAATGACTTTAAGAGTTACCAGTGCCTTTTGGCTGTTAATAAGACAACTTAAAGACGCAATACATAACGATATGTTCCATTTATCCTTTCTGTTAATCCTTTATTCTCAATGGCCATAAATGAAATATCTTATCATTTAGATAAAGTATCTTCAAGGATTGAGGATAATCCCTCATCATTTCCTGCAACTATATCATCCAGAGTTGAAAGGCCTAACAAGTATTTTTCACTAGAATAGCGAATTATTTGGGCTTCTATTTTATTTTTTTCAGCCTCTGGGTGAAAAAGTATAGGGCATCGAAAAACTCTGAAAGCTCAGATTATGTCATAGTAAAAATTTTCAGATATATTATCTAGTATATTGTTTCAATATAATACCTTAACAAAAAAGTTTAAAATAAAAATAAATAATTATAGATATCAAAGTGTTATTTATCTAAGAATAATATTAATGGGTGATAAATACATTTGCCAGTATCATTCTAATGAAGGGGAGGTTTATTAGCAGGGAAGTAAAAAACCAGAAGGATGTTATATTCACTGGAAAAGATGCTAGTGACCTCTATGCAAATAAGATGAATGTGAAAGACCGGTGGTTTCTAAATATTAATTTTGTGATTGACATGTAAAAAAGTATAACTCAAACGCATATTATCATTAGAAAAAGTTGGATAAGATGTTTTAGAACTATCAGACCTCAAAAGTAATGAGTCAGACTCTCAATAGAATGAAAATACCTAATGCTATAAGTTGGTCCTAATAACTTATCAAAAATTTTGCCCTATGAAAAAATTATAGGGATGGTAAAAAAACTTAACAAGAACGCTAGAAGTATCTTCTTTAACAATTTTAGAACTTTGGAAAGGCAATTTATTACTTGTCCTTAAGAGCCCTATAAGCTCTATGAATTTTCAAACTCTTTACCTTTTTTTTTTTTTTATATATACTATACATAACTATATTTATCCAAGTGGTGTATACTATAGAAAAATTTCAATTTTTTTTCTAAAACTTTAAAATTTCTTAGGGTTGATAGGATTCTTAAAGACAGATAATAAAGAATTCAATAAAACAAGCTAAGAATCCAAAAATGATATCAAGATTATCCCTAAAAGTGTTTTCAAGAATTTTTCTTATAAGGATAGAGAATTTTTATAAGGACAGCAAAAAAATAGCATACTCATCACCTCAACCTAAATTAAACCATAATTAGGCCTCAGAAGTACTTATAATATTCTGCTAATATGCTGGCAACAAATAGGTAATAGTTGGATTGCAAGATGATGCACTTTCAGCAATCAAATGGGCTGAACTAAAATAATACATATTGCATCTCCAATTCTGGATACAAAAAAATATGTAGCACAAATACATATATATTGGATTCTAAAAACATTTTTAGAACATTCTTGTCACTAACCCATAACTATGTGAGGGTGTTCTGTCACTGGAATAGTATCACGTAACTATGACGCAGTAAAGCGCAGTATAAATTCGCTTAATTTCGACCAGTACTATTATATAAATTTGGCCAGAACTTTGGATATAATAATGCGTTACCCAAGCTGATATAAAACTGACAAACTAATAGAACCTTCCAGGCATCTGCCAGTTCTATAACAGTTTCAGGAGAGTTTCATGACACTATCAGGATACTATCACAACGCTATTATGATACTAAATTGGATTCTCAAATCACATGCTCAAAAGATCGACCAGAGTTATATCATAGAGCCAGCCAAAATTAATTGCAAATATACCATGCCACCTGTCGTCTCTTTTTACACTATTTCAGTATTTTAAAAGGCAACTAAATAGGCATAAATTCTCAATATAGAACTAGCAACCAAACAAGCACAAAGTGTCAGTATCCTTAATAAGGAACCAGATATTCAAACAAGGATGGAAAGCCAATACTAACAATGTAGAATATATAATATAAATGAATTAGGAATAAGAAGAAAGCAGTAACCATTAGATCATGATATCACTATTAAATTAAAGCATAACCATCCATTGTTAGACTATGAAATCACTATTATAATATATAGAAAACGATTGAAATAATGATATAAACGCAAAGAAGCTACTCATATGTAGGTTATGAAGTTACTATCAGATTATGAATAGTAGGTTATGAAGTTACTACTAGATCATGAAATTAGATTATGAAATCACCACTATATTATGAAGTTATCGGTAGACTATGAAGTTACCATTATGTTATAAAGTTACCATTATATTATGAAGTTACCAGCAGATTATAAAGTTATTTCATGATCTAACTTAAGTCGCATATGACTTTCATAATATAATTATATTATAAAAGTCACATGCAACTAGCTGTAACTCAAGTTGCAACTTACCGCTTACCAAGTTACAACTTCTTAATTATAATGTTCATCTTTAGTACAAACATTTTTACTTCAGCAAGAAAATGCAAATATACATATAAAATTAGCAAATACAATTGAAAAATTTATTAAAAAAAAAACAAGTAGATTTATTGTAGCAAACTACTTTAGATTAATATTTTAATCAATAATTATGTTTTATTTAAATAAAAAAAATAATTACAAATAATATAATAATACATTTTAACATTATTTTTATTGTAAAATTTTTAAAATATATAAATGCACACCCTTTATAAATATAGTCGACCCTCTCTACAGTCACTCCCTATACAATCACATCATATAAATCCTCCGTTATAAGTACACCTTTCATAAAAACCAGTTCCCATTAACACTATATAAAAAAATCCTTCTATAATCACAATGTTATTATAGTCACATCATTTTGAAACCAATACTTAGTAATACTATAAAAAAATCTTTCTATATAATCACTTTTCACTATAGTCACACTTTTTATTTTTGGTTCTGAGGGGTGTAACAGTAGAGAGGGTCGACTGTACATGCTTATTTTAGATTTTAAGAGGTATGCATTTAGAGAGAGTTGACTATAGTATTTTTACTAGTAAGTTATAATTTATGGGTAATATAATAATTTTAAACAGATTAAATTTTTTTAATCTTATAGCAATTTTACTCTAGTGACCTAATATTGTACTTGTTCTATTACTTCTAAAATGATTTAAATTATTTATATTAAGTATTTTTGCTAGCTTAAATTGTTTAAGTTCTTATATTATTAATTCAGCTTCACAATTAAAGATGGGAACTGTAATTAATATGTTGCAACATTTTGTAAATTTGAAATCAATTGTTGTACCATCTTTATTCACAATCATCCAAGTTAATTATACCTAAATATCATAAAACTGAAGTATAATATGATATATATTTTATCACAATTGCTAAATATTTTAAAGTAAAACATATATTTTCATCAAGCATAATACTTCAGTTTTTAGAATTTTTAATATCATTTACTATTTCTTTTTTAATAATAAATATTATAAACTTCAAAAAACTTTGTACTATAACTGGATTTTCATAAAATACATATTGACTAGACTTATTTAATAAATTATCCATGTGAAACAAGTTTATTTTTATATAATATATAGTTATTGCTGATATTAAAGAATATTTGGATTATTATTTTGCAAATAAACTAAATTGCATAATTCCAGATAACATTTAAGGCATATTCATTTTTTGAAAAATGATATATATTACATATTAGACTAATTTTTCCTTATTAAGTTACTGAATAAATCCTTATATTATTAAAACTTGAGATTTATTTTTTGCTATTACAGCAATTTTATTATTATCGATATTTATATATTATTCAAATATTTACTTTCGATATGATTATATACTGGTAGTAAAAATATTTTTTTTTTTGCATTTTTACATTAGCTGCAAAACATGATCACCTTTTCATTAATATCTTCACTTTGTTTAAGCCAAGAATAAATATGTAACCAATTTGAATCAAATTCTTTACAAACATTTTTATTTAATTCTTGTTCATTTTAATTTTTTCATTTTTGTGTAGCTGTATTGCCTGCACTTGCAGCAAATCTTTTATGTTTAAAAGTTAAAATTTTACTTTATAAGTTAAATATGATTTTTTTAGTAAAATAAGTTAAGATTTAATATTAATTCAAAAAAAAAAATCTTTTTTAGAATTTATTACCTTTTTATTGCAAAACTTTTATTTGTATATTATTTATAAAGATTCTAAAATAAATGATTACTATTTCATTTAGAAATGTATCAGAAATTAGTTAAATATTTTTTTCTAATGATACTAGAAGTAGGATTAGTCTATAAAGACTCAATCTTTTAAAAGAATTAATAGTTATAAAGATTATCTAAGGTCTTCTTATAGGTTAACACTATTGCTCATATAAAGTAACCAATCTATTACATCATTTTAAATTGTGTTATCTATACTGTTAGCTAAGAATTCTTCCTAGGAAAAACATTTTGTATGCTTTTTCTTAAAAGCTTTTTACATAGGTAACCTAATAGTTTTAATGTTGGTAAATGACATAGTCATATTAAAAAATTTTTAGGTCATATGATCATAATGTCATATTATTATAAGATCATATAAAAATCACATTGTAAAGTCAACAATTTTATAATTTAAGATGCAATAATACATATGATAAAGATCAATAAAATACGATAAAATTACAAGAAAAAGATCATATGATAAGAAGGAAAATATTAATTTATTAAAAAAAAGAAAAATACTCAGATAAATTGCATTATAAAAGAAAAGATTACATAAGAAAATAAATTTCAGAAAGAAATAATTCAGATAAATTAGTTATTGAAGAAAAAAGGATAATTAAAGGATTAAATAAGTTAGATAATCAATGAATTAAACAGAAAATCTTATAGAAAGACTTAAAAATATTTGAAAATAATATTTGAAGAAAGTAACACAAATATGCAGAAAGGTTATACAAAAAGCACAATAGTTGAGAATGATAAACTAGAGCTCATAGTATTAAACGAGTCAATTACAAAGTCTACTGACTAAAAAATAGACTTCAACATGTATAGCAAGGTTTTAGATATCTGAAGGATAATAATTTAACTTAATAACTTTAAGAACTTGTTTGCGTTAATAAAACTATTAAATTAAAAGGGATCGGCGTCCCTGGCTCAGTGGTTAAACCGTGAGTC